GGGGGGGCGGATTTCACCCCGAGACGTCGATATCTCACCTGTCGCGCAGCGACAGCCACGCCCAAGGCGTGATGGCGCCTCGAGGAGCCACAAGAGGACAAAGTTGCAGGCAAGAGGCTTGCTGTCGCCGCCGGACCAGAGGCGCGGATGCAGCAGGGAAGGGTGGGATGATAGTTGGGGCAATGAGGTGTCGGGAAAGGGGGAAAGGGGTCAATGTAGTGCGCCTGATCAGGCGAATTACCAATTCTGATCTACAAATGTACCTACCTGGCCACCGCCTGAGGGCTTTTGATGTCATGTTGCGCTGCATCAATCGACGGTCCGGCAATTGACCGAAGACTAAAACCAGGCCCATCCAGCCAGTAAGCGCCCAGCAGCGGATATGAGCTAAATCCCGACGTCGCGGGATCTATTATCTAGTGTACATGTGTACATGTGTGTGCATGTGTGACTTGCTTATCCTCCACCTCGCCTTTATGTGTAGGCGCGGCTAGTCCGAATGAGCCGACGTCATGGTTCGGTTTCCGGCTTGCCGCGAGTGCCGAAGCGCGACGCGCGAGATGTTGCGCATACGGGATACGAGAGAGTTGGCCGCTTTAGAGATATATATATCGGCGTGCTTGGCATGGATGAGGGGCGATGGTTCCTGACATGAAAACCAACCCCCCAATCTCGTCTTTCCAAGAAACCTGGAGATCCCCGGCGGCTGTTTTCGAATTTGAGGCACCACTTTCAACGCCCCCTTTCTTTCAGTCCATCCAGCCAAGATGTCCCCTACCAAGCCCCACGTCCTAATCGCCGGCGCGGGCATCGGCGGCCTGGCGCTGGCCCAGATGCTGCGGCGGCGCGACATCCCCTTCTCCATCTTCGAGCGGGGCGACGACGGACACACGCAGGGCTGGGCCATAGCGGTGCACGGGATCGTGCAGGAGCTGGTCGCGTCCTTCCCGGACGACCTGCCGCCGCTGGCCGAGTCGGTCAACAACCTGCGCGCCCTGGGCAACGTGCCGGCCGAGTTCGTGCTCTACCCGGCCGGCGACGGCGCCGCCGGCCTCAGGTTCGGCGACGACGGCTCTAACACCCGCCTCGTGCGGGCGAACCGCGCGCTGCTGCGCAAGTACCTCAGCACCAACATCGCCATCCAGTACGGGAAGAAGGCGGTGGCCGCGGCGCAGGAGGGAGATAGGGTAACCGTGAGGTTTGAGGACGGCACGTCGGCAGAAGGGGATATCCTCGTGGGCGCTGACGGCGTGCACAGCGCGAGTGAGTGACTCCCTTCTCCCCCCCCCTTTTTTTTTAAATCTCCCTCATATCCACGCCAAGACCCTGACGCCCATCCTTTCGCCCGCCCAGTCCGCAGATCCATCCTCCCTGGCCCCGATCGGCTCGAGACGCTCCCGTTCGCCTGTATAATGGGCGAGGTCCCGCTGTCGGGCGAGGCCATGCGGCGACAGATGGCGCTGGGGCGGTCGGCCTACATCTTGCGGCCGCCGTACCCCGGGGGCAAGGGCCAGTTCTTCGTGGGCACCAACATCGTGCGCGACGGCGGCGACTGCGCCGACTTTTACTGGATGATGCTCTTCGCGCAGGAGAAAGGGGACACGGACCCGGATGACCTGGCCAGGCACTGGCACGCGACGTCGTCGCGCGCCGACCTGCTCGAGCGCGCCGTGGCCGAGAGCAGGCTCATGGACCCGGCCCTGTCCGAGGTGGTGCGCCAGACGCCTGCCGAAGGCATCGTCAAGCCGCCCCTCGTCCTCCGCGCGCTGCACCTGCCCGGCCTCCCCGTCGGGAGGATGACGCTGCTCGGCGACGCTACACATACCATGCCGCCCTGTGAGTGCCCTCTGTAGTTCTCCCCCGGAATTCCTGCTTTGTCTCTATGGGTAGACTGACCGGACGTTCCGCAATGCACAGTCCGCGGCGAAGGCGGCGTTAACGCCCTCGTCGACGCTCTCAGGCTGGGCGAGGCCATCGGCAAGATAGCCGCTGGCGACGTCGACGTGGCTACAGCGATGGAGGAGTACCAGGCGGAGATGCTAGAGCGCGGGAACAGGGCCGTCACCATGTCGGTCGACGCGGTGGAGACCGACGTTCGCGCGCAGCAAATGTTTGACATCCCTGCTATGGCTCGTGTGGCCGTCGAGGTCTCTTGAGTGAAGACTTGTTCTTGTCGCGTATTACTACTCCCTGCTCATTTCTTTACTGTTTAGATTTTGCGTATTTGTCAGGCATAGAAATGTTTATGGAACCGTAATCATCATTGCCGCCAGTGAGGGACCCTCGGGATATCGCGGATGATCGGCCTTTTTTTTTTTTGTGCGACCATCTTTGTGCTCTGCTAGCTTGGCGTGCGTCTAATGCGGGAGCTTGTGGCGGCATCACCACACGGCTTGTCGATCCCTGCCCACCCCTGCCTTGGCCGGCACGGTCTCCCGAAAAAAGTCTGGACCGCAATTTATTCCCCACCACCACAAAAAAAGGAGCTCATTTAATCTGCAATTATTTTACCCTCTGCATTTATAAAAAGCGAAAAACGTTATTGTAGCTATAAGTAAT